AAAGAAAGAAAGAAAGAAAGAAAGAAAGAAAGAAACCTGCAGAACAAGTAAGGCAGAAAGACAGCTCTCCACCTAGTGGACGGTACAGGAATCAGCAGTCAAATGAACCGGGCCACCATGGTTACCTTGATCCCAGCAAACACTGGAGGACAAGCTGGATACCCCAGCACAGGCAACCCTGGATGATGGCCTTGGAAAGAAAAGGGCAGTCATTGCTCCCAGCCACTGCAGCCTGACCGCCAGTGTCGTTCAGAGAATGGTCCTGTCTTTGCTCGGAAGGAACATCCTTTCTCCAAATGTGTCAGCTTCAAGGTTGAGAACTAACTATAAAGATGACAGGATCTAAACCACGTGTTTGAAGAAAATGGCCCCCAAGGGGAGTAGCACTATTCAGAGGTGTGGCCTTTTTGGAGGAGATATGGGCTTTGTTGAAAGAAGTGTGTCACTTTGGAGGTGAGCATTGAGGTCTCCTGTGCTTAAGCTACACCTTCTGTTACAGTTGACTTCCTGTTGCCTGTGGATCAAGATGGAGAACTCTCAGCTCCTTCACCGGCACCATGTCTGCCTGCAAGCCACCATGTTTCCTGCCATGATGATAATAGACTAGACCTCTGAACTGTAAGCCAGCCCCGAGGGAATGCATTCCTTTGTAAGAGTTATATGGTCATGTTCTCTTTGCAGCAGCAGAAACCCTGATGAAGACACTGCAATTCCCATGGAACGCTGCCCTCTGCCCTCGGTTCGATGCACATGTAATCATCAGGAGCATCAGGCACATTTGCTGCATCAACACAGCAGCTCTGGGACTCTGATTTCAAACAGGATGAGTAATGGACCCAAGGGGCCGGAGTTTGCCTTGAGACTCTGCCGTGTGCTGAAGATAGTGCTTTAACCAGAGAGGATCCAGCTTCAAGTTCAGCAGATTCCTGAAGGGGGGGAGGGGGCACTCCACTAGGCAGCTCTGCAGTGTGTGTCCAGGGCTCCACCACGCTCCTCAGTCACCAAGGAACATTGGCTGATGTCACTGTCGTGCCTTCTTGAAATTTACAGCACCTGATCGCTATAACCAGAATGGAGGCTGCAGTGGGATTCGGCAGGGCCCATAAACTGCGAATCTGGGATTACTTGTGTGGGTCTTAGATCTAATGCCGAGTGTCCTTTTAAAAGACACAGAGGGGCTGGAGAGATAGTTCAGCAGTTAAGAGCACTGGCTGCTCTTCCAGAGGTCTGGAGTTCTATTCCCAGCAACCACATGGTGACTCACAACCATTTACAGTTGGATCTGATACCCTCTTCTGGCATGAAGTTGTATATGCAGATAGAGCACCCATACATGGAACAAAACTCTATTAAGACACACACACACACACACACACACACAGCCTAATTTTCTTAAATTTTCAGGGGCTGGAGAGATGGCTCCACATCTTACAGTACTTGTCTTGCAGAGGTCCTCGCATTCAATTCCTAGTACCAACATGGTGGTTCACAACCACATGACTCCAGCATGTGTGTGTGTGGGAGATCTGATGCCCTCTTCTGACCACCGTGGCACCACGCATACAAGCATACAATGATAAATACATATTAAAAATGTTTCAATCTTTAAAAAAACTTTAAAGACAGAGGGAAGAGGCTGTGTTTAAACAAAACAGACACTGGAGGCTGCGACAAGCCACAGAAGACACAGACCCACCAGATTCTCCCTGGAGCTGACTGACCCCTCAGCTTTGAACTTGACAGCAGCTCTCTGTTGTAAGCCATCTGGCATGTAGTGATGCTACCCTAGGAAAGGAAGAACCAGCACGGGCTGGTGTGTAGGTAGGGCTTTCCGCTCATTTTACTCGGAAGTGGAAATGAAGCAACTACAGGGTTTGAGCAAGGATTCCCATCTCCACCGTCCAAACTGGACAGGCACCCCTGTGGGTCCACACCAGGCTCTCCGAGCTTGGCATGCACTTGAATCCCCTGGCAAGCTGGTGACATTCTGAGTCCAGACTCTCTGAAGTAGCAGGTCTGCAGTGATTGTAAGAAAGTACACCATGACAGGGCTGCAGAGATGGCTCGGAGGTTAGGAGCACTGGCTGCTCTTGCAGAGGACCTGGGTTCAATTATCAGCACACATGTGGTGCTCATGGCTGCCTTTAATTCCAGTTCCGGGGAATCTGCTACCCTCTTCTGACCTCCATGGGGACCAGGTACACACATGGAGGACACACATGCAGACAAAATATTCATACTATAAAAAGACTTTTGAAAAGAAGGACACCAGCTCTGGCAGCTGGTATATTGGCCAGGCTTGGGCTCCACACAGATGCTGGCTGTGGCCAGCTCTTGTCCAAAAGATTTCTTCACAAAACCTGACAAGAAAAATCAACACTCAACTTGAGTCAAGGGCTAAAGGTCAGACCTTGCTAACAAGCACAAGGATGTAGACTCCAAGTCCCATGCTGCAAATCAACACAAATAGCAAGGAAATGCGCTAAGCTGTGAAGAGCCACACTTAGGAACGAGCAGGCAACTGATAAAACAGCAAAGGTGAGCTGGAACCCCGTGTGAATCCAGCAGGATCCAGGCTGCTCTGGGGGTGTGGCCCTCTATTCTTCCCATTAGAAACTCATCTGATGGAGTCTTGTCTCCCAAGCCTTCTGGTTTCTCCGAAGCACAGTGTTGGTCTAGGACACTTTCTGGACCCTTTCTTCCCTAGAGCATGGGCTTCACCCCGCACTGTTGCTATGGGGTGTTGCCACTTCCTCCTTGGAGACTGCTGCCTCTAGACCTGCAGCACCTCACTCTCAGTGTGATAATTCCCTCCTAGGAGAGAAAAGAGCATGTGGAAGAGCATGTGGAAGGAGAGGCAAACCTGAATGAGCCCTGGGCCCATGGCAGCTCGGCCTCTTTGCCTGCATGGAGGGTGGAGCCTCTTAATTTCTCAGGTTGTGAGCCCCTGGGGCTGCCTGAGATTTCTCAGAGTCCTCTCAGCCAAACCAGAAAACCAAGTGCAGTCTCTCGGGACAGCCGAGACAGCCCTGCGGGGCCACCTTCTGCTGTGGACAGACACCCAGACACGGCAGAGAAGGACACGGTACTCTTTATTGTGACGCTCAGTAGGAACACCTGTAAACCAGCGTACTGTAGTGGCAGCTGCGACACATGCTAAGGCACTTTTATTATATAAAAAAG